CCCCCCCCCCCCCCCCGCGCGCCACAGCGGGTTTTTGACTGCTTTCCGGAAGGCCTGGAGAGAGTCGAGGGTCCGAATCTCCACGGGGAGTTCATTCCAAAGGGCCGGAGCTGCCACAGAGAAGGCCCTCCCCCGGGTGATAGCCAGATGGCATTGGCTGGTAGACGGAACCCGGAAGAGGCCGACCCTGTGCGATCTAACGGGTCTATGGGAGATAATTGGCAGCAGGCGGTCTCTCAAGATATTCTGAAACCACCCATACTACCTCTCTCTATTTAGATATGGACAGACACGTAACAGCTTCTTTCACCCGTCGAATAAACCATCAGTGACCCCCAGTGAGATGATTGTCCTTGCCTCCATTAATAGTAAAGAAAATAGGGAGTTAAATTTAAGACTCAGTATAAATCTTCATTTAGTTGGAGCGATTTAAGTGTCCTTAGGTGAGGGACATTAATTTGTGTGTGCCTGCTTGCATTCATTGCAGCGATATCGATCGATAGATTATGCCTTTGCATTTTATAAGGGCTTTGACCCGGAGACTTGCAAGGTAATCAGCGTTAATTGTTTAATGTTTATTTCCAGACTACAGCAGTCCTTCCACATAGTGGAGAAAAAAACCTTCCATATCAAAGAATGAGCCAAGAGCAAAATAGCCTGAAAAATGGTTTTACCCTGTCAATTTTTTTTTTACATTAAGGAATTGAGCCTTAGCAGTAAAAGAAAAAAGAAAACAAGGCACGTCTACATCTTCCTAATTGGTAAATTGTCTTTTATTGAGGCCGTTGGCTAATACAGGCAGTCCTCATTTTACAACTGTTTGTTTAGTGACTGTTCAAAGTTACAACAGCAGTGGGAAAAAATTATAACTTATGACCAATTCTGTACACTTGACAACTGTTGCAGAATCCCCATTGTCATGTGATCCAAATCCGGTCATTTAACAACCGATATGTATTTATGAACAGTTGCCCTGTCTCGGGGGAATCATGTTATCACTGTTTGTAACCTTCACAACCTAGTTTCGACAAGCCGTGCAGGAAGCTAGATGTTCTGACTTAGGCTTCCCAAGATCATGAAGCAGACTCCTCTTTTATTTAGGTTAAAGGGAATTCCTCTCCAGCAAAGTCCCGGCAAACAGTCTTTCATGATATTTCACAACTACAGAGCTTGATCAGGCTTGGAGAGCTGCCAGCTGATATCTTTCAAATGCCGCGCTGTAGCAGCAATTACTTGGCAAGAAGTCAGGAACAGATCTTCACCCNGGTTCTACCAAATAGGTGCGAACTGGTAGGAACCCACCTCTGATCTTAATTGAAACTTAATGTGTGGTCCCAATTCTTTGGACCTTACCCAGCCTTCTGCAATCAGAGGTTGTCTCAGTGTGCTGGAATAGAACTCCCAACCTTGCTGGCCAAAGGAAAGTTGGAAGTTCTGAAAGTCTATTCCTGTATATTGGGCAGAAAGCAGCTTTTAGGAAACCTAAGGTGATTGCATTGCAAAATCCTTGCTAAGTTCTGTTATGTTAAATCTGGAAATGTATCCGATTAACATGCTTCTCACCAGAATGAAGCCTGGTTCTGACATTGCAGCAGACTTCAAATGCTTTTCCCTTGTTTTATAGGATCACATTTTCCCATTGGAGTTGTGCCACCTAGAACAAAGTCACCCACCCCAGAATCTTCAACCATCGCTTCCTATGTGACTTTAAGGAAAACAAAGAAGATAGACCTAAGAACGGTATTTAAAAGAAAAGAGATTGTGTTCTTGGCTTCCTCTAATCCTCTCTTCAATGTGGCATTCCAGCTAGCAACACGGCGGCAATGCGGATGTACAAGGAATAACCTTGAGGAACAATTGCAACCTCTGTGTGGTTTCTGTTTCCTGGATCTAGCTTCATCACACAACCTAGACATCTCGTGCAGCCTTTGATTAGAATCCCCACTGATAAACTGTTGAGAAAATTCAAATAGGCAGAGGAAAATTACAGTGCTTATCACTTTATCAGAGCAGCCCATCTTCTGTGGCCAACTGACAATTGGTGGCAGAGTCATCGAGGCATTATTACAGTGCTGAAAATTCACCCACTGATATTCTAGATCAGAGATGTCAAATTCCAAACGTGGGGGCCGAATCTGGCACACAGGGTGTTTAGATCTGGTCCGCGGGGCCGCCCTACAAACAGCAAAGGACTGGCCCGCCGTGCCTGTGCCAGCAAAAACAGAGCTTGGGGCTCGGTTTTCTCTGGCAGAAGGTTGTAGGAGGCCATCACAGCTGAAAACGGAGCCTGCGAGGGCTACAGGTGGCCCTCCCAAGCTCTTGTTTTTATGGGCAGAGTGTTGCAGGAGGCCATCACAGCCAAAAATGGAGCTTGGGAGTACGTTTTCACTGGCAGAGCACTCGGGCCACCACAGGTGCACTCAACATGAATAATGTAGAGTTGGCCATGCCCACCATGGCCCTGAGGTCAAACACAACCCTGATGCGTCCCTCAATGAAATCGAGATTGACACCCCTATTCTAGATGATGCGCCTGCAGAGAGTTTCTTGACGAAGCAATATATTAGGAACCTGAAACTCTTGATGGTTACAATGTTTAGGTAGGATTTGAAGTGGCCTTGCTGCAGAAGCATGTGGCATCGGTGGCAAAACGGTATCCTTTGAGGAAATAATTTTACTCTCCTCCCTTTTTCTTTCTTTCAAGGAAAGGCCGAGAAGCGCAGTGGAGCAGTTATGCTTGGCCGAAAGTACTCGCCCACGAATGACGTTGGAGGAACAGATGGAGAGAATAAGGAGGCACCAACAGGCCTGTTTGCGTGAGAAAAAGAAAGGCCTGAACCTTATTGGCATTTCAGATCTCTCCCCGTCACAAAGCCCAGCCCACGTCAGAGAAAATCCTTTCAAATTATTGCAGGTAGGCCCTGGTGTTCTTTCAGTGGAACGCTCTTCCAACAGACAAAAACAATGTTCTTGTTGGTATTATAATCTCAAGGACTTAGGTTCTTTCCAAGTGCTGCCATGGAGATAGAATTTGATCTGCTCTTGGTGGATTTCAAGCAGCTAAGCAATTTGAGGTCTTGTTTGTGCTCTGGTGGAGCCACCAGCAAATATCAGCTAAAATGAAAAAGGGCAGCACCCATCCAATTCTGCATCATGGTTGGGAAGACAAGATGGACATGTCCATGAAGCCACCAAGACGTTCAACCCAGAGTTTTGACCTTTATTTCTTACAGTAAGAGGAAGTGTTGTTTATGGAATCTCTCTGAATTTGGTTGTTTGCTTGCAGAGATTTCCAGCTAGGTATAATACCCTCACCACATTGATGAACAGCGGTGGGTTTCACATTTTGTTACCACCAGTTCTCCCCACACGCATCAGCTCACTTTGCATGCATACCCCTTCCACGCATGCACCCAGCCTTCCACACAGGCGTTTTGCTCACACGCGCACCTTCCACGCATGCGCCTGGCCTCAAAAACATGCCTAAATAGGACGGCATAGAGCCAAGGCGGGGGGGTGGGCCCACCTGCGATTTCCACTACCAGTTCTGATGAACCGGTCCAAACCGACTGAATATCACCTCTGTTGATGAAGCTTACCTGCTGGGTAATAAAACATCTGGAAGCAAACAATCAAATTTAGAAAGTATCAAGAATCCCACAGCTCACCCCTGAGCTACTGAAACTCTCCTCTATTGAAAATGTTGTTTATCTGACAGTGTTAGGTAAAGTTAGTGGAGTTTTGCTTCCCATGAATGACAAGGAAAACTCTATAGAGTTGAGAAGAGGCAGAAAGTGTAACATGCATGACATTTCAGCTTTCTGATCAGGAACTCCCAGTCGAGGTTTATGAGTCTTGAAAGTTCAAGACATCTGCAAGTTATCATTTTAGAGAAGGTTAATTTGGAGCAATCTCCCTCCTCCTGATTTACACCTTTCTACTTCTTTGATTTCTGAAAGGCCAGGAGAATATTTTATAGTGCTGCTGTCAGTGAAAATTAAGGTGCTTCCAACTATTCTTTTGCCAGGTATTGAAAAAGTCGTATTTGTTTCCTGCACAGGGGAAGATACTGTTGCACACTCCCATGTTGTGGTTTTATATTTGTAATGATACGAACTGAAGGAATCTCGCATAACATGCATGTTTTCCTTGGTTGTTCATTCTATAACTACAATTTCTATTTTTAGAGTGTGAATTGTTTAATTAATTTAATATATACATACACACACACACACACACACACACACACACACACACACACACACAGTATATAAATATATATATATTCCACAGAGCCCAAGGAAAGAAGACTTTGTATGCAATCCCAAGGAAGTCGAATATAGCGTTCGAATGAGTGACATAAGCCAAAGCCATGCGAATGATGTAGAAGACACACCTTGGTTGAAAGAAAATGATTGTGCCAATGAACACAACCCTACTTTTATTACACAGGTACTGTTTCCTTCCGTCTACGTGGTGCATAGACATGAATAAAGAGGTAACTTGTTAAGACTTGGTTATAATTTCGGTATTTTTTAATCAATGTATATCATTAGTGCAGTGGTTCCCAAACTTGGCAACTTTAAGACTTGTGGACTCCAACTCCCAGAATTCTCCAGCAGTTGGCTGGAGAATTCTGGGAGTTGAAGTCCACAAGTCTTAAAGTTGCCAAGTTTGGGAACCACTGCATTAGTTAGTGTGTTCTTTTTATTTTAATGGTTTTAGAAATACTCTGCAAATTTTTCTTTGTTCAAAATTGGATGCCTGTTAGGAAAACAAAACATATAGTAACAATCAGAGCCAGTTTGGTCTAACGGTTAAGGCACCAGGCTAGAAAGCAGACTACCATGAGTTCAAGCCCCACTTTAGCCATGAAAGCCAGATGGGTAACTTTGGGCCAGTCACACTCTCTCACCCCAACCCACCTCACAGAGTGGTTGTTGTGGGGGAAATAGGAGGATGAAGGTGTGTTGGGTATATTCACTGCCTTGGGTTATTTGTAAAAATAATAAAGACGGGATAAAAAATAATTAACAAGGATGCACTCAAATACAAGAACGATACCAATTTTAAATATCCTTCACATTGTTTCTCCTTTTCTTACTCTGAATTCTTCACAAAACTAAATCACGTTCTCATTAAAAACTGCATTAATCTAAGGGCTAGCAAATCCAGGTTTTGCCACATGGTTATGATCACACCATCATGGTTTTGAAAGGCAAAACTTTTCTATTTAGTGCCATTAACATTTGCTCTTTAATGTTTATTTCACTGTTCCAGCTACCAAAAAGTGAAGAACAGCTGTTCCCAGATCTTTCACAGCCACAGGAGAGAAATCCCGAAGAAGCACCTGAGAAGTCAGAAGAAGAGACGGGAGACAGTGATGATAGGTAAAGCAAAGGGGATAGTAGGTATTTTTAGCCAATCCCGCAAATAATCTAACATGGCTTCAGTCTTTGCATAGGCAGAAGATGAGGATGCCTTTCCTGTATCTACTGCCTCTGAAAAAGTACTCCTTCTGACTTGGTGGCCATCTCTGGGTGACAACCTCAGTGGCATCTGCCTTCAGATGTCAGAAAAAAATGTGACTTCTGCTTTGCTATGTTGAGTAGCTGCTCATGGGAAATCTTGAAAACAGACCCCAAGCAGGCCTAAAATGCATTGCATTTTCAAACGATCAGAAGGCCTTTGAGATGTTAGTTTTGATGGATTTTTTTTTTATTCTCAGTGACCATTGTACTTCGTCAATGCTCTTTATTCGTATTCGTATTCGTATTTTATTATTTGTATGCCGCCCTTCTCCGGGAGGACTCAGGGCGG